ATATATATATATATATATATATATATATATATATATATATATATATATATATATATATATATATATATATATATATATATATATATATATATATATATAGGTTATCATATAAGGGTACTGTTTATCATATAAGGATACTGTTTAAGAAGCTGCTTTAAATTCACTAAATTCCCATCAGCAGAATATTTTAATTTCTTAATAAGTCGATATTTAGTATAATTTATGCACCCTGTCAATATTTTACGCATCTTTTTGTTCAGCTTAGTGCTACAGAGCATTCAAATTCTAACGATACGTTATTTCAGTATAAACTTTAAGCTATTTTAAAATATTTTTTTTAAATTCCCATGAGCAGAATATTTTAATTTCTTAATAAGTCAATATTTAGTATAATTTATGCACCTTAGCTGTCAATATTGTACGCATGCAGGGCATTCAAATTCTAACAATACGTTATTTCAATAGTTTTGGAGTTTTTTGGGGACACCCTGTATAGGGTTTCAATCTGCAATGCGATGTAAGCTATAGACCTGGTTCATATACCATTTATATTTGTCCTAGTACTTAAAGGCTCATCATACTATTTTTTAATGCGATATTGTTTGTGTTTGAGTGTTCATACAGCTATTTCAATTAAGGTTGTTGTCCGAGCAAAGCGGAAAAGTCGAATACGAGCGCGAAAGGCTGCTGGGAATCGTTAATAAGTTCATTCATTTATTAGCGATTCCCAGCAGCCTTTCGCGCTCGTATCGACTTTTCCGCTTTGCTCGGGGGACAACCTTAATTGAACAAGACGCTCTATGGAGCGTTAACTCGCTGGGGCTATACAACGGACGCACATTACTGTTAAGATCTAAATGCTGATTTCCACTGTTGCGTTTTTCGTACGCACGTACACGCACGAAAAATTTTGAACCTTTTATTTTTAAATATTTTACAAATAAGTTAACAAATGCATACTAAAACTTGCGGAACAGTAAATTCTGTTGCTTTATTTATTTGGTTATTAATTTTTATAAGTAAACGGAATCCGCGTTTTATCCTCATTTGCGGAATCCGCTCCGGAATCCGCTTCCGCAATCCGCGTTTTATCCCAATCCAATAAAACTTCCGGCGTTTATGCCCACAAGTAAAGTTATATTTTATAGTAAGTATGCTACATATTTCTTCTGTCGGCCGCCAGTTTAAAACGTTCAAAATAAAATATTTGGGGGCTTTTGGGCTCAAAATATTATCAAAATGAAGAGAGAAGTGAGACGAATCCACTGGTATACGGCCGACAAAGAGAAAACCAATGATGCCAAAGTTATCAAGGATCAAACGTATTGCATTTTTACAATTTGAGCGATTTCTCAACAAATAATACACTTCGCTTGGCTTGCAAATACAAAGGCCATAAATCGCTAGAATACTGTTGTCAGTTGTTTAGTAATACAGTTGACATCCGTAAGTACAATTTCTCATTCGTAAATACAATTTCTTACGCTGAATCGAACGGTGGTATTTTTATCCTTATTGCGCCATTTATAGGCAATACAAATACAATACAAGGTCGCACCATGGATTGTAAAATAACAATGTCAACAATACAATTTCGCTTGATTTTCAAAGGCCATAAATCGCTAGAATACTGGTGTTTAGTAACAGATTTGGCATCCGTAAGTACAATTTCTTACGCTGAATCGAACGGTGGTATTTTTATCCTTATTGCGCCATTAATAGGCATTACAAATACAATATCATATTTCACACTGAGTACACTTGAACACTACAGTTTTCACGGACTGTTGTTCGATAATTTTTATATTGATATGACACCAATATGCTTCTCATAAAGTAGTTATTTATTAAAACTACGTTGTGCAGTTTAAGTTATAACCATTTACCTTGAAATTGTCTTTGGCTCGTTTATATTCAGATTCAGTATATTATGCCTGGTCGTGCACGGGAATTCAACGAACCAAATTTCGAATTTTCAGAGTCGTGCACCAAGAAATACGCATTAAATAAACTAGCAAGAATGTCCAGAGTTAGACACAATGCAAAATGCATAGGAAACAGGTACAATTGGTTCAACATTTTCACGAAATTGTTTGAAACATTTTGCCCGCTGAGGCCCCACTCCACGAAACACGAAAGGCCCCGCCATTTTGAAAAGGATCAAGCAGCTCATTAATATTCTATTTTGTGGCTATCGACGATTGGAGATTGGAGATTGCCGATCCAAGAACAGAGCCGAAACCTATACTCGTCTGGGGCACAGGGTGCCCCAGCGAGTAAATAGCTGTATAGGCTACTAAGTGTAGTAGACGTTGTATAAGCTTGGATGTATATGTGAAGTAAAGATTGTCCCTCAAACTTTGCAATTGCATGTTTTCAGATAATATCTGAACTCTCAACGGGAATCGAACTCTTGTCTCTCGATTAGTGCCGGTTCGGTTGTATTGCCACTAGACTAAAGGGTTTCAGACGGCAATGAAATGTTAACTAGAGACCTGATTCCTATACCATTTATATGTGTCCTTCGTACTTAGGGGCTGATTACATTGAGAGTTTTCAGCCTGGGCTGAGTTTCATCCCTGTATCGCGCGCTGAAATTTCAGCCCGGGCTGAAAACGCCCCATGGAATCAGCCCCTGAATTAAAGGCTCGCCATACTATTTTGTAATGCGATATTGTTTGTGTATGTGTGTTCATATATTAAGTCCAGTATATGTTGTAAGCTTAGACAGCCTATTTCATCGGAAGAGAATCAGCTTTTAAATTAAGATAGAAACTAGATCATCTGCTCCCTCGGCATGATATCGAACGAGCCAGACACATTCTTGTGGATATAAATTCTAATAAATATGTTAGTAGTTGGTGTGTGTCGTACCTCTTTATTAACCTTTTGGCATTGCAGTATTTTTTCAGTTTATGTTGTTAATTCTCTCTTCTCCTGACGACTTTCAATTCTGGTCAAAATTCTGACTTTCCTTTTTAACTTCAAAGTTCCAACTGACTCAAAACAACACTTGTCGTTAATGCTCTTACCAGGAAATTATTCCCGAGCCGACGGCGCGAAGCGCCGTGCGAGGGTCAGTGCCTTTTTTAAGGAATTTTTACTGGGGGGGCAAAACATGAAAAAAAGGCAGAACGAAAAATATGAGTCGTCGAGGTTTGGCGAACGGCGAGTCTGAAGAGAGATTTTGTAAAACTTTAATTTATTAACTTCACGTATATAAACAATAACTTCAACTCTTTGTAGCTATAATCGTACAGTTATAACCAGTGGCGTAGCCAGACCTTAAGAGCGGTTGTCTGTAATAGTCAGGTAAGACGTGTAAAATGAAAAAATTCAAAATCTTTCAAACTTTGTCAGAATGTAGGCCTATATGATGTATTAATGTTGTGAAAGTTTTATTTCGATCGGATAAATATTGAAGGAGAGAGACGTCGAAATTGGTTTTCCCAGGCCACTTTCGGTTTTTAGAGGTCATTTTACGGCACTACCAAAATCGCTCTATTTTGCGCGTTAATGGGAATATTTCACAAAATATGATTTCGTTTTATAAATTAGAGTTCTTTATTGAGTAGCAGACGAAATTTAGAGACATTTATGTTAAAAGTGAATATTTTACAGATTTTCTTAATGTTTTTTATTTTTGAACCTATTTATTATATGCCATATTAGGCAGCGAATATCTCCATTGTTACATCGATTCAGACAAAAAATTCATAAACAGGTCAAAGAAATATGTTTTCGCCAGCTATTGATCAAATAAAATTTTGGGGCAACTTAAAATTGAATTTTTTACGAATTTTCTCGTAACCCCTATTTGACCCGAATAACCGTATGTTATGTAATCAACGTCGAGTCATGTAGTTCTGTAAATAACCAAAGAGCTCGTCAAAAGCGTTTATTTCTTCAAGTAAACAAGCCTAGGCCTATAAAACTAACTTAGCTAAAGCTGTACGATTGGCAGAAAGCATTTAGGTTTAAATCACACTGTTTACAGTCGCTTATTGTTCAGCTAATGCCCGATACTCGATAGCCGGTGCCGCTGATTTGGCAGATTTGGTTTCAATTATATTTTATCAGGGATATGCCGCGATAAGTATAGCGAGTATATTTTCTCTCCCCCTCCCATAAACTCGTGTTCTCACATAAATAGTGCACACGCTTTTTGTAAAAATCATAGGCCATTTGCAAGGTCATTTGCAAGGTCATACGATGCAAACGTCGCATTGTTTTGACGTTTTTTTAGTCGTATTTCCGGTTGGGTTAGCTCACGCGATTGTCTGAACAAAAATATAGACTAGCCATACCTTTCGCCAAAAATAACTTCGGTCCCTTCAAACATATCGTCTTTGTAATAGTCTTGTTCGAATCCCCATCAACAACACTATTTAGATTGTTATTTACATGCCTGTATCTTCAAATTTGCATTTTTTTCACGGCATTTCCATTTCTTGTCCAGCTGTGAGCTCGAGGCTCGAAGTAATTTGATAGTATACGATCGCATTTGACTTTCAAACTCCCATAACTCAGTATAATGTTAATAATGACTATAACTATCGTTCGGAAATAGTTGATCTTTTATTTCTGAATCGAATGGATTTCTGTCTTCATAACATGTACTGAACCGAAGATTTGAAATTTCTAGCCGTCAACCTCTCGAGTACGGCGACCTCGCAAAGAGTTTTAATTTAATTAATATTAAAGCTGAATTCTTTCACCGTGATGTCATGCCAAAAGGTGTCTTTTCTATTTTTAAAAAAGATCCCGGCTCTATTGATTTGTGATTTGGTAATATTAATTACAGTTGTATATTTGATTATTTTGTTAGTGCTCAATAAGTTTGAATTTGTTCTGAGAAAACAGTCAAACTTCCGACCAAACTTCTACGCAGTTACTTATTTAGTAGTTTTATAATTAACTGCCCATCACTTTTAAAACAGCAAAAAGATAAAGACAACGTGTACGGGTGAGTTATCCATGAAATAAATAGTTGGTTTACAAAATGAATTCCGTCTTTGTGGATAAAAATTAGTTATAAATAATCTCTCCTGTATGTGTTAAATGCTACATGTAGGGATTTCCCCCGGTATATTCCTTCTCTTTTGTATGGCTGTTTGTTTGTGATTACTCGCTCTTGTCACTGGGTCATGTGGTGCCAGCAACTCTAATCCAGCCGATTCAGAATGCGTTCTTCTTAATGATTGTGATAAAAGAAATCAAGGGACACTGAGGTCGCACGACGTTTGCTAGGATTCCAGTTTGAGAACAGAGTCTTGTCTTCCACCTGCACCAGCCGATTAGTTCATTATTTTCTATCTGACATACTTTTGATCCAATTTCAGTTAAATTTATCCAACCATTTCTGGATGATACACTTACAACACAGGCAGTACTCAGGCCAAAGAAAAGTCAAGAAAGGCAGGCCAACTTTCCCAGAGGGGGGCCCGGAATGGTGGAATTGTGCAACGTGTTAAATATTAAGTAATATTCTGAAAATTAAGGTCGAAAAAGGTCTGAAAAGTATTTTGACGCAAAATTAATTTATCGCAAAATTAATTTATATAATTTTATCGCAATATTATTTTATCGCAAAATTAATTTATATAATTAGGCTGAGTTCCTTATCAGCATTTTGAAATATCCCTGTTACAAATAGAGTATTACTGCCAGGACGTGCCAAGTGATATCTGGGTGGGGGTTGGGTGGATGGTGAACTTAAAAAATTCGGCCACCTTCTTTGCGGGGGCCCCCTCAAAAAGTTTTCTGGTAAGCAAAAATTTTACAGTAAAATGTAAAGGGTGGGAGGGGGGGTGGGGTGGGGCGACGTTTTTTGAGAAAAAGGTTCCAAAAATTATTTTTGCGATAATATGGGGGGTTCAAAATACTTTTCAGACCTTTTTCGACCTCAATTTCAGAACACGTTGCGCAATTCCAGCATTCCGGGGCCCCCTCTGGGAAAGTTGGGCCCCCTTTCAAGTTGACTTTTTTGGCCTGAGAACCTGAGTGTTCTAGATGTATCATCCAGAAATGGTTGGATAAATGTAAGTGAAATTGGACCAAAAGTATATGTCAGGTAACGCGTAACCACAAACAGCCATACAAAAGAGAAGAAATATACCGGGGGAAATCCCTACATGTAGCTTAACACATACAGGAGAAATTATTTATAACTCATTAATTTTATCCACGAAGACGGAATTCATTTTGTAAACCAACTATTTATTTCATGGATAACTCACACGTACACGTTGTCTTTATCTTCTTGCTGTTTTAAAAGTGATGGGCAGTTAAACTACTAAATAAGTTATGTAACAGTGCGTAGAAGTTTGGTCTGAAGTTTGACCAAAGTTATTGAGCAACAACAAAATAATCAAATATTCATGCAACTGTAATAAATATTACCAAATCATAAATCAACAGAGGGTCTTTTTTAAAAATAGAAAAGACACCTTTTGGCATGACATCACGGTGAAAGAATCCAGCTTTAATATTAATTAAATTAATTACTGTAAGTAAACGAATTACAATTTCAACGTAAACTGACCGATGTTTTTGACAAAAAGCGCGTGCACTATTTATGTTCGAAAAGTTATAAATAAGCACGACGAGACGTGAAAGAACACATGTTTATGGGAAGGGGAGAGAAAATATACTTGCTATACTTATCGCGGCATATCCCTGATAAATTCAATTCAATTCATAAAATATAATTAAAACCAAATCCACCAAATCAGCGGCGCCGGCTATGGCAATATATTATAGGCATTACCTGAACAATAAGCGACTGTAAACAGTGTGATTTAGACCTAAATGCTTTCTGCCAATCGTACAGCTTTAGCTAAGTTAGTTTTATAGGCCTAAGCTTGTTTACTTGAAGAAATAAACGCTTTTGACGAGCTCTTTGGTTATTTATAGAACCACATGACTCGACGTTGATTACATAACATACGGTTATTCGGGTCAAATAGGGGTTACAAAAAAATCGTCAAAAATTCAATTTTAAGTTGCCCCAAAATTTTATTTGATCAATAGCAAGCGAAGACATATTTCTTTGACCTGTTTATGAACTTTTTGTCTGAATCGATGTAACAACGGAGATATTTGCTGCCTAATATGGCATATAATAAAGAGGTTCAAAAATAAAAAACATTAAGAAAATCTGTAAAATATTCACTTTTAACAGAAATGTCTCTAAATTTCGTCTGCTACTCAATAAAGAACTCTAATTTATAAAACGAAATCATATTTTGTGAAATATTCCCATTATCGGGCAAAATAGAGCGATTTTGGTAGTGCCGTAAAATGACCTCTAAAAACCGAAAGTGGCCTGGGAAAACCAATTTCGACGTCTCTCTCCTTCAATATTTATCCAATCGAAATAAAACTTTCACAATGTTAATACTTCATATAGGCCTACATTCTGACAAAGTTTGAAAGATTTTGAATTTTTTCATTTTACACGTCTTACCTGACTATTACAGAGAACCGCTCTTAAGTTAACTTAACCCAAATAGTTTTATTTATATACAGGGTGTATAAAAAAAACTGAACAGATTTGAAATTGCTCTCAATTTCGCAAAACACCTATTTGTATCCAGTTTTTTATACATATAGCTTCTTTGGGTACTTATAAAGTAGAATAACGAAAAAAAATTTTTTAACTCAAATTTTGTGAACCAGGGGGGTGTGTCTTTTCCAACAAAATAAAAATGGGTCGCGCACAAAATTTAACAGCTGTAATCATATTTTGAGTTAATAGATGGAAAATTTGTCGGGTTTTTAATTACTGTACAAAATTTCAGACAATTTGGTTTAGCGTTTTAAGGTAATTATTCACGCAAAGTTACATTTTTCCTAAAAATCAGCTATTTGCATGCTTAATTGATGCCTTTGCCTAATTTGCATATGTTAGCAATATGCAAATTAGGTAAAGGCATTAATTAAGCATGCGAAAGGCTGATTTTTTAGAATAAAATGAATAGTTAAAGGCTTAAACTAAATCAAATTGTTTGAAATGTTGTACAGTAATTAAAAACCTAACAAAGTTTTTTTATACACCCTGTATAGGTTAACCGGACGCTTTTTTCCAGAATGTTTTCAGACTTTCTCGCTAGTTCAAGCATGTTCATACAAGAGGCGATTAATTTCATGTTGAACAAAATGAAGGTAACTCAACCGTGTTCGGCAGACAATAGAAAAAATGCTCTTAGAAGTCAACCTTTTTGTAGTTGTGTTTGTTATTTAATTTCAAGTTATTCAAAGTAGTCCTATAGGTAATTCGTGTGTGATCATACCCAAACTCGTCGAGCTATAAATGTTACACAAATTCAGTTTCCGTATATTCATTCTTCTCAACTACACCGCCAACCTTTTCTTCTTCTGTCTTCATGTCATCCATTGTTTCCATGGTTGCTGCACCCTTGGTCTCTGGTAAAAACAATCCAAGCACGGCTGCTTGAAGAGCGATTGCTCCCATTATACTAAACGGTAGCGCTGCATGGATACGAATCTGCAAGACAGAGTTTTACAATTTGATATAAATCTTATATCCATTACAAACCAATGCATTTGTTCGTAAGATGGCAGTTAATATTTAGGCAAATCCACAGGTACCGCATTTAGATTAGCAGTTAGAATTTGGATGCGGGTAAAATTATTTTAACAACTTTCTAAACAAAGCAATCCATGCAGGTAACCAATGAGATGCGTGCGACGGAGGTTAGCCTGCCTCCAAATAAAGGAACATGTTGCAAAATTAACCATGCTCTTGCCCATTGGAATTTACCACATCCTGCATTGACTGCACTACACGGGTAAAAATTGATCATTTTGTTCGGCGTTGTTCAAAACAGGAGCGAACAATGTTGTGCTGCACCCCGTGAACAATATTGTTAACAAGTTGTTCAACCATCAGTACTGTTGCAACTTGTTAACATGATTGTCAACAAGTTGCAACAATATTGATGGTTCAACAACTTGTTAACAATATTGTTCACGGGGTGCAGCACAACATTGTTCGCTCCTGTTTTGAACAACTTGCATCAACATGATGATTTTCACGCGTGTAGGGGCTCCGAAGCCACGGGGGCAGCGGGGCCAGTGGCTCCCGCTGCCCTAACAGTGCGAGGGCAGTGCGAGGGCAACTGGTTGCCCCTTTTTGTGACAACAAAGTAAAAGGATTAAGGCATTAACTAATAAGTTATTATTGTTGACTTGCCGTCATATGTATAAGTCAGGTACATATCATGACCACGTTCATTTCATGGTTCATTTACGCATTACGCAGGCTACGTTGATCGTCTTGTTAGTTATATAAGCCTTCTACATTTTTCTAGTTTCTTGACACACCTACATTTTTGAAGTCGATTAGCGCAGTCATGCTCTGGCACGACAATAACGCATTCGCGATAAGTTTTCCTCTGTTCTAGATGGTTTTTAGAGCATTCCAGCTAGGGACATAACCAGGACTAGCAATGTATCCGTCCATAAATGCTCGACCAGGTCTGCCGTCTGCCTCTCCCCCCCCCCCGCTCCGCAAAAATGTTCCTCTTGGAATAATTTTGAAATCAAATCTTTAATCTTTATCTTCTAAAAAAGTAATTCTTAGCAGTCAAAAGAACACGTGTAAAACTACACTCAAAACTGAAGAGCAAACACCATGGTTACCTCACTAACATACCGCCGAAGTTATTCTTAAAATCAGCCTAAAATGCTTATAATATATTTCAAATGCAAAGGAAACTGTAGCTTGTTTGTTTGTTTGTGGATGTATGTGCAGGGATGTGCAGTAACTGTTTAATGTGATGTTATAGTAAAATTTAAGCTTACACGGTTGTATTAATTGCTACGGACAAAATCCTAGAGTTTTAACATCAACTGCCAGATTCACAAGTACACGTCCAAAAGACGGGTGGACGGGCCTCTGGCTAATCCCATGTTTCCATGCATCTTCTTGTGATTTTCCATCCAAGATACGCAACCTCATTAAGTTCAGTTTTTAGTTTGTTTAACTTCTTTGCCTCTACTATAAATAATTAAGAAGCACTGAACCGTGATAGTTAATTGAATTAGTTTTGTTCGTTGGGATATACATCGGCATACGCAAGCAAAGTGCCAAAGAAGCAAGGATTACATATTAGAGTTATCGGTTTCTTTATAGTACAGTGTTACAATCGGTTATTATCGGTTTATTATTCCTTGATCTTATTATATATAAATTTAGTTTACTCTACATTATTGTGCGAGTATATTTGCATGAACTGTATTTGCGTTAGCCTGCTATTGTAAAAATATTTTGGGCTCTTTTTGTTTTTCCTTGCACAATGTTCGTGACCTACATGTTATAATCTACTCAATTTATTCATAATCTATTAAAAATCTGATCTAGTGTAATATGTATAGAAACATTTGGCTGCAAACTGTGAGACTTCATCAGCTACCAAAATATTCCACCCATATACTTAAAATTTTCACTGTTTTTTGTAATTTACGTGACGTTTATTAATTCTCAAAATTATGTCAAGTCTCTGCCCAAAACGCATGGAATGGCATTTCAGAGACTAGATATAAAATTTCCCGGGGGAGGATGCCCCTGGACGCCCTACAAAGGTCTCGCGCCTTCGGCGATCGAGTGCCCTTTTAAAGATTCTGCCCCCGCCGCTTTTCAGTCCTTCCGGCGCCCCTGGACTGCACATGTGTTTAACTTATTCCGATCGTTTGAAGCGAGTGGAAGAGCACACTAAACAATAACTGTAAAAATCTCGTCCGTGTATTTCCATCATAAAACCTGTTTGTAATATTTATTCTCGAAATTCCCAAATAACGTTACATATGTATGGTATTGACCTCTTTCCAGGGAATGCATTCCCAATTGCTACTGTATAATAACATTCCTTTTGCCTCGAATGTCGACGTCTAAACGGTAAAATGTCAGAGTGATAATACTATAGAACGTTTAAATTACTTACAAGCCAAACAATGTAGCTGGCGCCAAACGAGCCAATTCTTGCAAAAGAAGATGACGTGGACATACCAGTTGCCCTGCATAGAACAAATAAATTAAGTCATAGGTTGCAACACCAGGGAGCCCGGGAATTTAGGTGCATGGCTATGTAGAAAATAACTTCCCCGTTATGTGGGTATTGATGTTGAAGACCTTTCTCACAACGCAAAAAATGCTTGCCCCCTCCCGCCCCGTCCCCGTCCCATCCCCTCCCCGACCAAACCAATCTTAAGACGCCTATGAGTGGAGTCATGCATGCATGTGATAAATAAATCTTAACATGTAAAAATGATTGTTAATTTATACAATTGTGGGGTTTGCATGCAAATCTAAATCCAAGCATGCAGTTTACGGTATAAATAACTAACTTAATTAAATGCCGTTAAAGTTGCTTATATCTGAATCTACTTGCAGTTACAGCTATTTTATTCTGAAAAAGAATAAGTACCTACAAATATTTAACAAAAACAGGTAAGTTATATAAAATGACTTGATCTCGACAAATTCTGGATTTAAGGAAATTAATATTAACTTATTGCAGAGATACTACTAACAGTGTATCATTACACTGGTTAACATTTGGGTAACATCCACTTGTTTCGTTCAGGAATATATTATTTCTTTGATCTTGACCTATAAAAATATAGAGGGGGATAGCGGCATAACCTCAGTCAAACGAAACGGACAAATTGGAACTTGCTAACAGAGGCTGAATTTGTTTTCTTCATTCGAATTTAAGGTTTTAATCCTAGTTTTATCGCAAGACCTGGCTGTTTTACTTTTATTTATGGAAAAAATTAGCGTAACAGAAGGTATTCTTGTTTTTGGGAGCTTTTTGTCCTTGCTCAACTACGATAAAACTGGAAAAAATCGATGTTTTCACAGTTGTATTATTAAAAATCGTGACTTTTGGGAACGAGAGTTTACATCCGGATAACGAGATTATACAGTCAATCAGATAACGTACACTAGCCCCCATTAGGAAACTTCAATAGACCTTTCCCCATTTGAGTGAAATTTTCATCTAGATATGCCTGGGCAACAATTTCATCACATTTTGAACGAGCATCACCAAATTAGTAATATTCCGAAGTTTTGATGCGAAATGTTGTAAAATGCGGATAATATAGCCTTGCGAAGTTTGCCGTTTTTCAGTCATTTTGCATTACAATCTAACATTTTGCATCAGTTTGATCATCTGATTATCAATTTTCCGTTTGTAATATCAAATATTGACTGAAAAACGTCAAATTTCGCAAGGCTATATTATCCGCATTTTACAACATTTCGCAACGAAACTTCGGAATATTACTAATTTTGTGATGCTCTTTCAAGCTGTGATGAAATTTTTGTCCATACTTGTCTAGATCAAAATTTCACTCAAAAGGGGAAAGGTCTATGTGTTCCTTGATTTTTCCCTCAATGACCACTCCTGTTCTTTTAGAATCTCTATGATTACAACCCAATCCTTAACCCTAACTCTATTGTGCGCGAAACTTGACATAACCGATATTTTACTGTACCTTATAACAGTTGGAAACAATTCGCTGCTCCATACGTAGACTCCAGCAAATGAAAAAGAAACAAAGAAATTCGCTACAATAGCCGCAGTGATACGACCACCAACACTAGCTGGAAAGAAAGACGAAATCAACAATTATACATAGCTAGGTGGTTTGCAACCAATCCGCAGGGGTTCACAAGACAAAGGGATTTTAGTCATGTTGGATTAAATTTGAATTACCGAAACCCAGGAAATCCTTTGTGAAATTCATCCGACATGGCTGTGATGACGTAATGTAACACCCATGAACGTGGGAGTAAATAAACTTTTTGCACCATCAAGCGTAAACATCACTTTGACAAGTAGCAAAATCGTTTAGTGCTAGGCAGAATTAAATTATTTGTTGAGAAGCCGTTTTGTATATCAAGACATACATAATGTAGACTGCGAGCAGTCCCTCCTTAATAGAAGGAAAGGAGGGACTGTAGACAACACATCAAGAAACGAAATACGCCTACTTTTCGCACCGCCTCCTAGCTCCGTTGTAAACAAGTAACTATTTATAAAAGTAAAAATTCAAGTTTACATGCAGTGAAACGACGACGTTTACGTTTTACAAGCAAAAAATACATGGCATTACTTTAAATTGTATTCGCTACAAATAACATACTAAACGCTCTCAGACAGTATAAATAAAAATGCCACAAGATTAAATTAATATCACATAATTTGACGGTCGACTTTCAAATTTGAAAAACAATACATTTAAGTCAATTAACTTTTTCAAACAAAAATCTGTCAATCAACTATATCAACCAATCAGAATTTTGCGTTGTGTCGACAACGCGTACTTCGTTTCTTGATATACAGGGTGTATAAAAAAAAACGCAATCTCGGAATTTCCCAAGAAATCGACATTGTTTTAAAGACAAAAGATTTTAGGCGCCTGGGAATTTAAAATAGCACAACTGTCAAAATTACTGCACACGCGAGTGCATAAAGCAAAATTTATGCATTTATTTAATGCACAACAACAGTAATACGATCTATTAGCAATGCGATTTCAATCCCCAGGGGCCTAAAATCTTTTATGCTTAAGAATTGCAAAGTAATTTCTTAGGAAATTCCGAGGTTGCGTTTTTTTATACACCCTGTATGTTGTCTGCCTGCAGCCTTCTTTTCCTTCTAAGGGAGGACTGCAAGCAGTCTATATAAAATGTAAAATTAGCAAAGCAAAACAATACCAGCCGAAACTAACAGGGCAATAAGCGTCAACAACCAGAGGCGTAGCCAGGATTTTTGGTCAGGGGGGGTGGGGCAGAAAAAACCCAGGTGGGGCCAAAAAATTTTTCCGGACCACAGCATTTTAAATCTCTCCGACCCCCCCCCCCCATCGACACCTTTTTTGGTAAAAATTTTCCGGACATTACATTTGCTTTCGTAGCACTTTTCCCGATTTCCATATCACTTTTTCCGATGTTTCACCACAAAGATTCCGACAACATTGACAATTTTCAAACGGGTCTCAAGTTGAAGCTATATAATCAAGGATTCCTTTTTTATTGCTGCGTAGCGAGCGAGCCTGAAGCAAGGAGCGAAGCAGCATTCTAATGTGTGCAGAGAAGGAGTTTTGAAGTAAATTTTATTTAGCGCATTGTATTGTGGTCGTGTGCGCTTGCTATGCACAGAACACAAAATAACGTACGACATACAACATTTGAGGCGTATTTGAAGGATATCGTTTATTGGTATTTTTGCACAAGTGAACATAACAAATCCTACAAGCCTACAAGGTGATTGGTCAAATTTGACGTATTAGGCTATGTTTACATTGTATCGGATCACTTTGCGTCCGACGCAAAAACCATACCGGATAGGGCTTCTGTTTACATATGAAATGTTGTTATCGTCTCAATTTCTGCAACGGACCGGTGGTGCGGCGGTTCGCTCTTCGAAGTGGTGCGCGGTGTTTCGGATCGGTTTTTGCAACGCTCTCATTAGTATAGTATAGTATAGTAAAACTTTATTTAACCACGCTTCCCTCATCACCCATGGATGATTTTCATGAGGGGCGTCACACAAATTGCATTCTAAAAACTAATATAAATTAAATATGAAATAGAATAACATAGAATAACAAATACGTAGATAAAAAAGTTAAAAAAACCAAGACTATTCGATGCCTGACTCTGTAGCACACATTATTTTATCAAATTTTTGAAGCTACTTAAAGATTCTGTTTGCTTTGCCTGCGTATGTAAACTATTCCATAGAACAGCCACGCTATATCCAAAACTCTTTTTTTAAATATTCAGTACGTGGTTTAGGAACTGAAAGATTTATATCAGCATTTCTGAGATTATAATTAGTACTAAGATTTATGTCCCTTGTTACAAATTTATCCTTTAAGTTCGGAGCTGAGTGGTTGTTTAATATTTTAAACATCAAGACCGATTTATTCATTTTATGTCTGTCGTTCAGATTTTTCCGTGACATATTATGGCATGGAGCAAATCTGTCGACCTGACATCATAATTGGCACCTGTCATAATTCTTGCCGCCCTATTTTGTAGTTTTTGTAATTTCTCTCTGAGCATGCTTCCACAATTATCCCATAAAGATGAACAATAGTAAAAATATGGGAGAACGAGAGAATTATATAAATTTTGTAGTGTTTCGGACGGTACAAACGGCTTTACTCTTTTGATGATTCCAATACCGTAGCCAACTTTCCTACATATTGTGTCTATATGGTTTTCCCAGCTCATTCTTTCATCTAGTTCTACTCCCAGACATGGAAAAGAGGAATATCGAGTAACCGGTTTACAGGCGCGGATCCAGTGGTTTTGTTGACTGATGCACTAAACCTCGCATTTGTAGGGGGATCCGGGGGAATCCTCCCCCGGGAAATTTTGAAATCTAGGACCTCGGAAATGCGATTTCCTGCGTTCTGAGGGAGCTTTTCTTCGAAGTTCACACATCAAAATCGAAACGTAATTTGCTGGATTTTCGGGAAAAAACGTAAAAAATCGGCCTTATAGAGTGAGAACAACATAATCATGTGAGTTTTAAAATAAATTGAAAACATTTTTATGCGGAGTTTTATCAGATCGAAACTTGACTAGCCTTATTTATTTGATCTTATTTGAGTGAGGATTATAGAGTAGCAAAGTTGTAGCTATAATTTACAATTTTACATACAAGTGTACACTACTTACATGTACACAGCATACTGATAGAATAATTGAAAGCAAAACCACAGACATTTTTTCTATGTAAAATATGGTGCAAATGACATAAAAAGCTGATCAAGGTTGTGTTTCTTATGCAAAATAGATAAGAATACTTCAAGCAAACTATTATATTCATTGCCAATGATATCACTTCCTGTAACTTATCACTTCCTGTTACCAGTTAACACCAATCAATATAACAATGTTCCAGGTCAAATACCTTCCAGCAGCACCACCATGACATAAATTCCAGTTAAATTATTTTAATAATCCAGGATTAATTCCAGGGCAACTTTGAGTTACTGTATATGAAGGCCCTCTCTGGAGCTAGTCACTCTAATATTTATGGATGCATTTATATCCAACATTTTGACAAATGCAGTTTGAATTTTTAAGTACTGTAAGATTATCAAAGTATTCAAGGGTGTTAGGTAATAGTTTTCATTGTTGCTGAGCAGTTAATAATAAAAATAAACAATTATTGAAACTATTTGCAGAAAATAGATTATTCTACTGTATTTGAAGTCTGGATATCTACAATACATTGACCAATATATCTCCACAGATTTTGCATTGAATCCCAAATTACAGTACATTCAGGAGTGTCTAGGACTACTGTATGTATCCAAAACTGCTGTTTCAAGATATTAAGGATAGACAGGGAGAAGTGCATGTTATGGACTTGGTAGGTATCTGATTGCATAAGCAGGATTGACAAGCTTCAGTAACAGTGGCAGTGCAGTATATTGTGATCAACTCAATTAGTACATTGACTTATCAATGAAAGTGAGATAATTTATCAATTTATACATTAATGTATTCTATGCAATGACCCTTTGTTGTATTGAAAATAAATGATAGAATGATCAGAACA